ATAAAAGTTACATAAAAACAGACAGGTGGGTCAATAGAATCAAATAGAAGACCCAAACATAAATCTATGTTACCTATGGATACCTGATTTTAGACAAAGAAGCTAAAATTATACAATGAAAATAAAAAGCATCTTCAACAAATGGTGCTGATTTAACTGGATGTCAGCATGTAGAAGAATGCAAATGGTTCCATTTCTATCACCCTGCATGAAACTCAAGTCCAACTAGATTAAAGACCTCAACATAAATCCAGATACACTGAACCTAATAAAAGAGAATGTGGAAAATAGCCTTGAAGTCTTTGGTACAGGAGACAATTTCATGAATAGAACACAAATATCACAGGCAGTAAAACAGACAATTAATAAATATGACCCCATGAAATTGAAAAGCTTCTGTAAAGAAAAGACACCTTCAATAGGACCAAATAGCAGCCTACAAAATGGGAAAAGATCTTTACCAACCCCACATCTGACAGAGGGCTGATCTCCAAAATATACAAAATGTACAAATATACTTAAGAAACTAGACACCAAAAAACTCAAATAATTCAATTAAAAATGGAGTATAATTCTAAACAGAGACATCTCAAATGGCTGAGGTACACTTAAAGAAATGCTCAACATCTTTAGTCATCAGAAGACTGCCAATCAAAATGACTCTGAGATTCCATCTTCTACCTGTTGGAATGGCTAAGATCATAAAACACAAGTGACAGCTCATGCTGGGGAGGATATGGAGCAAGAAGAGGATTCCACCGATGGTGAGAAGGCAAACTTGTACAGCCACTTTGGAAATCAATCATACCACAAGGATGCTTGCTCAGCTATGTTCATAGAAGCATAATTCGTAATAGCCAGAACTTAGAAACAACCTAGATGTCCCTCAACAGAAGAATTCATAAAGAAAATGTGGTACATTTACACAATGGAGTATTACTCAGCTGTGAAAAACAATGCATCATGAAATTCAGAGGCAAATTGATGGAACTAGAAAAAAAGAAAACTCCCATAGTGAGGTAACTCAGACCTAGAAAGACATAGTATGTACTCACTTATAAGTGGCTTTTAGCTGTAAAGGATAGCTTTGCAGCAATCCACAGATCCAGAGAGGCGAGGTAACAAGGAGGGCTCAAGAGAGCACATTCAGATCTCCCTGGGAAGGAGAAGAGATTTCTTGAGTGGACTGGGGACAGGTGAAGATGGGAACATAAGGGATCAGATGGAGGGCAACAATACTGAGACAACTGGAAAGATGCAGGTGGCATTTCACGGTCAGGTAGAAACCTGGTGCAAGACAAACTCCTGGGAATCTGTGAGGATAATCCCAGCAAAGACTCCTAGTAAAAGGGGATCCATATTCTGAACCGGTTGGTCATCTCCTGTGACCAGGCAAGACTTCCAGTGGAAGGAATAGGACAACAATCCAGCCACATAACATTCAACCTACAATCTTTCCAGCCTATGGAATATGCTGAGGTAAGAGTGGTAGAGATTGTTGGAGTGACCAACCAATCACTCACTGGTCAAGCTGCAGACTTATGCCATGGCCATGAGAGTGAGCCCACCCATTTTACTGCCTAAGTGACAGGACCCAGAGGTTGGATTCCCAGAGACCTAGGATAAAACCAAACATGAATAGGGAAAAAGAATCGAATAATGATGCCTAACAATATTATGCTGTTCTCACAGTTTGGTGGCAGCCATCGATGGACACAGATGCAGAGACCCACAACCAAACATGAGGCAGAGCTTGGGGGATCCTTCTGAAGAGAGAGAGGATGGATAATAGGAGCTGGAAGTGTCAAGGACATCACAAGAAAATGCACAGAATAAGCTAACCTGGACCCATAGGAGCTCACAAAGTCTGAAACAACAACAACCAGGAAGCCTTGGTGGAACTGACCTAGGTACTCTGTATATGTGTTATAGATGTGTAGCTTGTTGTTTCTGTGGGACTCCTAACAGTGGGAGCAGGGGCTGTCTTTCACTCTTTTGCTGGCTTTTGGAAGCCTGATCCTTATACTGGGTTGTCTTCCCCAACGTTAGTACAAGGAGAAGTGCTTGGTCTTACTGCAACTTGATATGCCATGTTTTGTTGATACCCATAGGAGGCCTGCCCTTTTCTGAATAGGAATGGAAGAGGGTGGGTGGGCCAGAAGAGGGGTGACTGGGAGGGACTGGGAGGAGAGGAGGGTAGGGAAAAGAAAGTGAAATTTCCAAGTTCTGGTAACTGAATCAGAGTCCTGTGCTTTCATGCTTTACCAACTGAGCTTCTACCTGCCCCATATAGCCTATTATTCAGGATCTGTAAAATTTGAGATTAGATTTTGCTTATGGTTTCTGAATATTGTATACTTTTCATCTCATTATGTCTATTTCTTCATTTTAGTGCTGTAGGAGTTAAGAGTATGTTTACATTTTGTTTTAACATAAATATGTCTCTATGATACATGTTGTAGTAAGATTTTAATTCTTATGAAATAATTTTTTTCTGTCATAAATAATTGTCTTCATTTCTCTCTTTCTTTTCAAAGATTTATTTATTATGTATACAGTGTTCTGTCTGCATGTTTCCCTGCAGGCCAGAAGAAGGCAACAAATCTCATTACAGATGGTTGTGAGCCAAAATGTGGTTACTGGGAATTGAACTCAGGACCTCTGGAAGAGCAGGCAGTGCTCTTAACCTCTGAGCCATCTCTCCAGCCCCTCATTTCTCTTTTTTTTTTAAATTTATTTTATAAATGGAGGTGTGTATGTGTATATGTGTGTGTACCTGTATGTGTATGTACATTTGTTTATGCATAAGTGTGTTTGTGTGTGTGTGTGTGTGTGTGTGTGTGTGTGTGTGTGTGTGTGTACAAGGACACATGTTATATGAGTATTTGTCAGAGGACAGACTCTCCTAAGTCAGTTCTTTGCTGCTATCTTGTGAGATGCAGGGATTGAACTCAGGCCAGCTCCCAAGTTCCTTTACCTGAGGATCCATTTCCCTGTCTCTGTCTCCAATTTCATTTGCTTCTATTTCTACACATATATTTTTATAACTCTCTAATTCTTTGATTCATAGGTTTATTTTTTAATATCAAATTCTCAAATACATGCAATGCCCCAGTGGTTCTTTTTGTCCTAGACAGACCTCCATCACATGTACTGTTGTTGTGAACAGATGTTGGAAACATTGTTGTGGAATCATCTTTTTGTACACTAGGAAGAGGTGTCTTTACCAAGGCACCTTCTGATTGACTGAATAAAAAGATGAATGGACAATAGCTATGCAGGGAGAGGTTAGGTGGGGCTTCCGGGCAGAGACAAAAGAGGAGGACATCAATCTAGGTAAGAGGGAGACGCCAGAGGACACAGAGAGAGGAAGCAGGAGATGAAAGATGGAAGAGAAGTAAAAAGCCACAAGGGACAACATAGATTACTATAAATGGGTTAAGTTATAAGAGCTAGTGAGCCAAGCCTAAACTATAGGCTGAGCTTTCATAATTATTAATAAATCTCTGTGTTGTTTTTTGTAAGCTGGCAGCACAAAGAAAAATGGGTCTGCATCAATCAACTGCTTTTACCATCAACAGTGAATCACTTTGCCATTTCTTCTCTGGCATGTCCCTTGACATCCACAAGTCTCCCTATAATGCCCAGAGATTGTTTTCAACTTTGGAGTCTTTTGCTGTCTCACATGTTTGAAATGATGTTTATGGGATTATAGCCTTAAAATACTATCACATACTATGTTTTGTAAGCTGTGGGTACATACAAGGTGTGGAATGTGTTAGTTGCTTCTGTGTTACTACTACCAAGCACCTCCAAGAACAATGTGGAGGGAAGAGTTTTTTTAACACATAGTTTTGAAGTTCAATCAACACTCAGTTGGCCCTGTGTCTAGGTAGAAATCCATGGCCATAGGATGTGAAGGAGGCATGTTCCCTTTATGGAAGACAGGAAACAGGGCAGAGAATCAGGAAGGATCCTGGGACACACCCTCAGAGATTTACTTCTTCTAACTAGGCTTTGCATACTCAATTTTCCAGAATTTCCCACAATTTTACTGCCAGTATTCAACACACAGACTTGTGGGGACAGTGCACATTTAATCATAACAAAATTCAAATTTCCCTAATAGTAATTAGTAATTTCCCCTCTGCTCTTTGGGTCTCTTCTTTTAGATTGTTATTAATAGCATGCTCCTTGTGAATTCTTTGCTCTGCCTCTTCTTCCTCTTTACGTGGGAAATTTTGTTATGTATAAGTTACTGATAATTAACATCTCTCTCTTTTGTATTAATTTGAGTATTATGCTCTTGGTTTTGAGTAGCTTTTTCATTTTTTTCTCATTTTCCATGACTTATATATCATACTATTTTCTTTGGACACAATTATGTCTTTATAGTTTTATGCCTCAGAGAAAATAATTTACAGATTTTTAATTGGCATAGTACTGTTTTCTTTGTGCCCACTCCTTCCCCATTTCATTTCTAGTATATTTGGCTCCATTTTTCACAAAAGCAGTTTTTCTAAAATAATCTTTTATTCACAAACATTTAGAGTGAGGTACTGGTTTCAAATCTCCAACGGCATTTGACTAGATCATCTAAATAGATCAGTCCTTACATTAAGAAAATTTATGCAAAGCGTATGTAAGACAATACAAACATAACTGTGAATAATTAGAACATATCTGAAGTCATACCAATATAATGTTATTACCTAAAATGCATAAAGGAAAAATTAAAAAATAAATAAATGGTAAATGAACTAATCTACAGTCACATTAAAAATTTTTCTCCTCTTGTAGCAACTAACAAAATACAGGCAAAAAAAAAAAAAAAACCATGAATGTAACTTTAAATGAATATGAATTTTAGTGAAATAAAGAGATCAGGAGTTTAGTAGCATGATTCATGATGAAAAAAATCTCTATTGTAATGTGGGAAAATACCAATACGGAGCCAGGTAGAAATACACGGGTATTTAATAGGGAAAAGCCTTACTTACAGAGCGACCTAGCCAGCTGGCGTTGCAGCAGTCTGAACAGCAAGCCGAAAGTGGGAGAAACCGAAAGTGAAACTGCAGCACCACCTGAATGCCTCTCACTCTACATTACCCTGACCACGCCCTCGCAGGCTTGCTCAGACACACCCCAAGGCAGGCGTAGCTACAGCTTCTGCTACACTATTGCATCAAACATTTTTCAATAAAAATGTCTTTGTCTCTCTCATTTATACACTCACCCTATACACACATACACCCAAAATAAATGAAAAGTAAGAAAAAATAAATAGATGATAAATTTGGACACAATTGTGGTAGTGTGAAAGAAAATGGCCCACATAGGCATGCAGGGAGCGGCACTAGTGCCTTACTGAAGTAGGTGTGGATTTGTTGGAAGTATGTCCCTGGGAGTGGGCTTTGAGCTTTCAGAAGCTCAAGCCAGGCCCAGTGTGGCATTCTGCTGCTGTGGCCTCCTGATCCAGAGGCAGAACTCTCAGTTCCTTCTCCAGCACCATGTCTGCCTGCATGCACCCATGCTTCCCACCATGATGATAATTGACTAAGCCCCTGAACCTGTAAGCCAGCTCCAGTTAAATGTTTCTGATATAAGAGTTGCTGTGGTCATGGTGTCACTTCACAGCAATAGAAACCCTAACTGAGACATCAATCAAATAAAAGGAAGTGTTTGTTTTTTGGTTGGAGAACAGCAGCCATCATCGGTCCTGGCTACAAGCACATACTTGTATATTAGGGTACATAAAGGTGAACCAAAGATAGGGAGAAGAAAGGCACTGAAAACACTTAAGCACAAAAGTTGGAAGAGCTGTGTTAACATTATCTCACTACTGGTGATATTCTCAGGGAAGAGAATACTACCAGAGTTAACAAAAGATAGAGTCCATTGATGCAGAGAACTAAAAGTTCTAAATATGTTAGAGTGGCAGCAAAGACTGATCAAAATAAAGTACATAATTATAGTTAGAGATTTAGATACTCCACCTTCAGTAATTCCTACTAAGGATTCCTTCCTTAGCAGAATGAATATGAATGATCAACACAAATGTAGAGTAACTAGATATTACTGTTAACCACTGTGACCTATGTGACCCTGACAAGACATTCCACCTACTGTAGAAAACACAGCACTCCAAGTGTACCTGACCTTTCCTGGTCAGAGCACATCATGCCTTAAGCTGTACAAGTCCAGGAATTTCTAAGAAGATTGAAATTTTATGAAATTTAAATGTAAGAGAATTGGTTATTTTCCTCACTGCTACAAAATTAAAGTACAACTAAAATATGCAGAAAGTTTCAATATGTAGAAACTAAACAACATATTTCCAAATAACTGAGGTCAACTAAACAAAACACAAGGGGGATTAGAAAACCTTTGTTCTTAATAAAAGTGCAAATGTAATACCAAAATTTCTGTAAGATAATGTAGTATGAAAGAAAATGTTCTAAAATTATATTAGAAAACCAGAAATAACTTAGATTAGTAACTTAACCTTTAGCATTGAAAAATAAGGAAAAACAAAAGCAAATTAAACTTTAAATTAGCAGATAAAATAGAAAAAACTTTAAATAAATTTTATATATTTATAAACACAATTGCATAGTCAAATTATAATATGTATTTTTAAAATGAAAAAGTAATAATAAATTTTAATAGTTGTCATTCTATTGCTGTGAAAATATGCCACGAGCAAGGCAACTTATAAAAAAAAGCATTCTATTGAAGGCTTGCTTACAGTTTCAGAGAGTTAGGGCATGGTCATCATTATGGCAAACCCCCAGGCAGGCAGGAAGACACATTACTGGAGCAGTAACAGAAAGTGTACATCTTACCTGCAAAAGAGAGAGAGAAAGAGAGAGAGAGAGAAAGAGAGAGAGAGAGAGAGAGAGAGAGAGAGAGACTAAGAGAGATACTTTTCATGGTGTGGACTTTTGAAACTTCAAAGCCTACCTACAATGACACACTTCCTCCAACAAGGCCACACCTTCTAATCCTTCTTAAACTGTCCATTCTCATTCAAACCACCACAGTCATCTTGTTACATTATTCAGTGACTTTGTTATTTCACACTTTCTTGTGGAGCAACACCAGACAACATTGGATCACCAGTGAGTTCTGTCAGGCATGCTCAGCAGCTCTTCTGGAGATGAGAAAAAGAAATAGGGAATCACTAATGGCCTATAAGCTGTGCGTAGTTCCTACTTGAAAACCTGACAAAACCATTCAATGAGGGGTAATATATAAAAACCAAATTGTGTTTTCTAAGACTGCAAAGTTGTCTTAATATTTTAAAATCAATTCTGTGACTTATGCATTAATGCAATAAAGAGAATTATCTAAATTGAAGGAGAAAAAACATAAAATTTAATACTCATTCATGCTAGAAATAGATTTAGGAAACTGAACATAGAATAAATACTTTTTTAAAAAGCTAGCTTTTCTTTGACAGTTTTATGCATGTACATAACATTCTAGTACCATTCTTCTCTTCATTTTCTCTTCTCTTCCCACCTTTTCCCCAAACAAGTCTCTCTTCCACTCTCATATCTTTGTGTATTTTCATCTTGCTTTGTATTTAAACTGGTCTACTCACATGCTTGAGGGTTTGAAGCCACTGGAACAAAGATACTATCACCCATAGGATACATGGTTATCACATTTAAGGGCAAGGCCTCGACAGTTGATTGTTATCAGCACCTTGATCAGATGTGAGTTTCTGTATTAAGGACAATTTTCTACAAAGAGCAAGGTTGTTTTGTTTTCCAATTTTTAAAAAAGCCACTCTATCCCACCTCCCCTCCTCTTTACCACCCCATCCACGCCCAGTTTACCCAGATCTCATCTAATTTCCCTTCCCAGGTTGATCCATGTGCCCCTCTTAGGGTCCTTCTTGTTACCTAGCTTCTCTGGAGCTGTTGATTGCAGTATGATTAGCTTCTACTTTATATTTAATATCTACTTATGAGTGAACATATACTGTGTTTGTCTTTCTATGTCTGGGTTACTTCACTCAGGATGATTTTTTTCTAGTTCCACCCATTTGCCTGCAAATGTCATGATGCCATTGTTTCTTACAGTTGAGTAATACTCCATTATGTAAATGTACCAAATTTTCTTTATCCACTATTTGGTTGAGAGGAGGGAACAGGATGGTTCAGGCAGGAAGGGTGGAGTGGAAAAGCAATGAAACACATATCATTTTTTTCTAGATTTTTTAAATTTAAAATTGGATACAATCTTATTTTACATCAATCCAAGTTCCTTCTCCTTCCCACCTTCCCCTGCCCCCCACCAATCCCCATCCCTCTTTTACAACCCCGGGGGGGGAGGCCTTCCATGGGGGATCATCAAAGTCTGTCACATCATTAGGGCAGGGCCTAGGCCCTCCCCAGTGTGTCTAGGCTGAGAGAGAATCCCTCTATGGCAAATGGGCTCCCAAAGTCCATTCGTACACTAGGGATAAATATTGATTCACTACCAGAGAGCCCATAGACTGCTCAGGCCTCCTAACTGACACCCAAGTTCAGAGGGGCCTGTTTCAGTCCTATGCTGGTTTCCCAGCTGTCAGTCTGGGGACCATGAGTTCTCCCTTGTTCAGGTCAACTGTTTCTGTGGGTTTTCTCAGCCTTGTCTTGACCCCTTTGCTCATCACTCCTCCATCTCTACAATTGGATTCCAGGAGTTTAGCTCAGTGCTTAGCTGTGGGTCTTTGCTTCTGCTTCCAGCAGCTACTGGATGAAGGCTCTAGGATGTCATATAAGGTAGTCATCAATCTCATTTTAGGTGAAGGGCATTTAAGGTAGCCTCTCTACTATTGCTTAGATTATTAGTTGGGGGATCATCCTTGTAGATCTCTGGACATTTCCCTAGTGCTATATTTCTCTTTCAACCTCTATTAAAGCATCACTTTTCTTGCTCTCCTCTATTCTTCCCCTGACTCAATCTTCCTGCTCCCTCATGTCTTCCTCTCCCATCCTCTTCTCCCCTTCTCTATCTCCTAAGTCTCTCTCCCCTCTCTCTGTGCTCCCAGAAAGAGATACCTTCGTAAAGAAAGCCACATGGTATTAGGGAGAAACCTGGTGCTAGGGTATCCCAAGTATCCACAAGGATGACTCCAACTAAGTCTCCTAGCAATAATGGAGAGGATGTTCAAACTGGTCTACTCCTGTACTCAAATTGGTAAATACCCCAACTATCATCATAGAGCCTCCATCCAGTAATTGATGGAACCAGATGCAGATCCACAATCAAGCACCAGGCTGAGCTCTGGGAATTCAGTGAAAGAGAGGCAGGATGGAATATATGAGCAAGGGAGGTCAAGATCATGATGGAGAAATCTACAGAGACAGCTGTAGATACTCCAGAGGACTGAACTAGGCCCTCCCTATGTGGGTGACAGTTGTGAAGCTTGGAATACATGAGGGACCCCTGGCTGTAGGACCAGAATCTAACCCTAGTACATGAGCTAGGCTGTTAGAGCCTATCTGCTATGGTGGGATGCCATGTTCAGCCTCAATGCATGGGAGAGGGGCTTGGTTCTACCCCAACTTAATGTGCCGGACTTTGTTGACTCCTCATAGGATCTCTTCCCTGTTGGAAGGAGTGGATAGGGATGGGTTGGGGGGTGGCTGGTATACGGGCTGAAAGGAAAGGTGGCAGGAAGAACTGTGGTTGGAATATAAAATGAAATTTTAAAAAGTAAACTATAAAAAACATAAAAAAGCAACTTTATTGGAGTATAATTTGCATGCCAAATTATACAAGCACAATTGTATGTTACCTTGCCAGCCACAACTCATAATTTACTTACTTACAGGTTTGCATTTTTTGGCTTTCTTTCTTTTTCTTGCTTCTTTGTGTCTTTCACACCATGCATCTTGATCCCATTCATATCCCTGTCCCTTTGTATCACCCTCTGCTTTTGCAACGCATCCACAAATAAAATAAAATGAAATTTAAGAGAAAAGAAAAGAAAGATCTCCTCATGGAAGCTGTAGTGTAACACTCTGAATCACTCAGTGTACCGTTAAGTCCCTGTATCTTTACTTGCAAATGTTCATTGCAAAGA